TTAGGCGAAGTGGTTTTTGAAGAAGAAGTGATAGGAGAGTAGAGGGGACTCATACACTAAAAGACGGAAGTGAAAATAAAAGATAGACGCATTAATTTAGCCAGAATAGAAGGGTCAATAAAGGAAGTGGAGAAAAGAAAACTTAGTGGGTAGCTTGACTGCTAAATGCAAATAGCCACAGGGCTGGTAGTAGAAGAGAGGACCAGACTTCTTAGGTTTGGCCCCTACTGGGGTAGAACGAGGCATAACAGTTGAAAGTTGCACTGAAGCAGATCTCACCTCACGAGTAGCATGGAACAGTGCACAGAGAGCCAGCCCTGAAATCGGGAAGACCCGAGTTCAAGTCATGTCCTGACTGTGTGACCCTGGGCAGGTCACTTAACTTCTCAATGCTCTAGGCAATTCTCCATGATTATACCTTGCAGAGAATGTTCCCACCTGCATTGGAAAAGTTTCCTCATCCAGGAATTCCCTATTTCAAAGAAATCACAGATCTAGTCCCTATCCCTATGAGGGGGACAAAAACTTCCTAACAATTGGAGCTGTCCAAAGATGGGTAATGACCTTTCTCCATGGTGAAAGGCTGTATGGCTACTTGTCAAGATATATGTCTTTGTATAAATTAGACTAGATGTCTTCCGAGCTCCTTTCCAATTTTGAGGTCCTCTCTAAAGTTCTGTGAACAAGAAAGAAATAGACCTGCTGGCCCGAGTGGGGACAATTAGTGAAGGACAGAAAAATGTGTGTGGGGTAAGTGTGGATGGGTGTGCAGGAGGCAGGGATGCCTTGGAGAAGGTGTGGATGAGCCCACCAAGGCCTGGATTCAGGTGGTAGCTCAATTAATCAATCAATATTTATTAAGCACCTCCTATGTGCCAGGCATTGTGCTAAGTGCTGGGGGTATAAAAAGAAGCGCGAGAGTCCCTACCCTCAAGGAGCTGACAATCTATATGCAAACAGGTATATACAAAGCAAGCTCTATATAGGAAAACTAACAGAGGGAAGACACTGAAAATAGAGGTTGAGGAAGGCTTCCTGTTGAAGGTCTAGTTAGTGGGCACTTAACAGAAGCCAGGAAGATTAGTAGTCGGGATAGAGGAGGTAGAGTATTCCAGGTATGGAGCACAGTCAAAGAAAATTCCAGGAGTTAAAGCTGAGTGTTTTGTTTGAGGAACAGCCAGGAACAGCAGGTATCATTAGATTGAAGACTACTTGGGGAGTAGGGTAGGTTATGAAGGGCATTGAATGACAAACAAAGCACTTAGTATTTGCTCCTGGAGGCAGTAGGGAGCCACTGGAGTTTAATGAGTAGAAGGTGTGTGTTAGGATCAAATCTCTGATTTTTTTTTTTAGGCAGTTAAGATTAAGTGACTTGCCCAGGGTCACACAGCTGGAGTCAAGTGTTTGGTCTGAGGCCGGATTTGAACTCAGGTCCTCCTGTCTTCAAGGCCGGTGCTGTATCCACTGTGTCACCTAGCTGCCCCAGATCTTTAATTTTTTAAAAAATCACCTTCATGGCTGAATGGAGTGAAGTGGGGAGAGACTGGAGGCAGGCAGATCTACCAGCAGCTAGTTCAATGGGCCAGGTGAGAGGTGAGGAGGACCAGCACCAGGGTGGGGGCAGTGTCAGAGTTGAGGAGGGGGCATATTGGAGAGATGCAAAGGTGAAATCAACAGTAATAGGGAAGGTAGGAGGGGAGAGAATTTAGGGGGAAAGATAATAAGCTCAGTTTTAGACATATTGAATTTAAGATGTTTACACTGGACATCCAGTTCAAGATGTCTGAAAAGCAGTTGGAGGTGTGAGACAAGGGTAGCAGAGAAGACGGGGCAGAAAAAGTAGATTTGAGAATTAGCAGCATAGAGATGGTAGTAAAATCCGTGGAAGTTGTTTTGACACCAAGGGTTGGCTAGAGGTTATGATCTGGAAGAGCATCCAGCAAAGGAAACACAGAAGGAGTGGTCAGATAGTTAGGAGAAAAATCAGGAGAAAGTGTTGTCTTGAAAACCTAAAGAGATGAGAGTATCGAGGAGGAAAGCGTGATCGACCGAGTCCAAGATATCTGAGAGGTCAATGACAAGGAGGATCAAAAAAAAAAGGCCATTGGATATGGCCACTAAGAGATCATTGGTAACTTTGGAGAGATCAGTGTCAGTGGAATGATGAGGTTGGAAGCCAGTTTGTAAGGGCTTAAGAAGAGAGTGAGAGGAGAGAAAGGGGAGGCACCCGTTGTAGACAGACCTCTTGGAGAAGTCTAGCTACAAAGGGCAGAAGAGGTAGAGGCAGGGATAGAAGGATCAAATGAGGTTTTTTTTTTCAGGATAGGGGAGACATGGGCATGTTTGTAGATAGTAGGATGAGCCACTGGACAGGGACAGATTGAAAATAAGTGATAGATTGGGAGTGACAGAGGGGGCAGTCAGTTGGAGACAGGATGGAATGGGATTGCTGAACAGGTAGAGGTGTTTGCCTTGGTAAGGAGTAAGGCAACTTCATGGGAGACAGGGATGAAGGAGGAGAGTGCCAGAAGGCATCTGAATGATAGGAGATGAGGAGGGAGGGAGTTCAGGGTGAATGGCCTTCCATTTTTTTCCTATAAAATATTTTCTGTTTTCAGATGAGAGAGTGGGGGAAAGGGGAGCCCATGGGGGTTGTGAGGAGGTGTGAAAAGGTTTTGGAAGAGCCTCTGTAGAGAGTGGGATAGTGAGTTGATGCAGGAGACACAGCAGGACTGCCTGGCAACGATGAGGGCCCTGAAGAGGTTATGTGACATCGTTTTGTAGTAGATCCAGTGAGAACGGGTGCACGATTTTCTCTGTCTTTGTTCAACAGCGAGTGTGCAGAAGTGTGGGCAGTGAATGGTGGGAGAGATCCAAGGCTGAGGCTTGGCCAGGTGTCATTGACAATATGATAAGGGGTTAGGGATTCGAGAGAGGACAGCGTAGAGTTGAACTGGTTCCCAAGGAGTCAAGGTGGAGAGAAGTGGAGAGAGTGGCCAGTGCAGGGCAGATGGCCTGGGAGAGAATTGAGGTGTCAAAGGATCAGAGGTCATGGCTATGGTTGTAGAGAGTAAGGTCGGAGGAAGAATTTGCTGGATTTGGGGACTAATTGGACAAGAGGGTAAGGGTATGAAAAGAGATCTTCTCCAGATCTGGAGCCTGAGGGACAGAAAGAACAGAAACAGCAGTGATCGATTGGATAACTGTTTTCTGTACACCCAGCTCTGGTCACTGAGTGACCCTTGGCAAGCTGCTTAAACTCCACCCTCCTCAGACTCACCATCTGTAAAATTAAGGTATTTTAGTGGTTGATCTATTAAGTCCCTTCTAGCTCTGACATCCTAGAATCCTAGATTGGGGTTTCTCCAAAGGTAGAGACAGTATCTCTCAGTGTATCTCACTAAGACTGGAAACTGAGTGATTTTTTATTTTTGTTTTTAATGTGATCTCCCTATGGGAAATGGAGTGTAGAAATCTATCCTGCCCTACAGGAAAATTGAAGGGGAAGGGGATAAGAGAAGGGTGGGGAGAGATAGAAGGGAGGGCAGAATAGGGGAAGGGGTATTCAGAATGCATGCCATCTTGGGGTGGGGGGAGAGATGAGATGGGGAGAAAATTTGGAACTCAAAATCTTGTGGAAGTGAATGTTGAAAACTGAAAATAAATAAATAAATGAAATAAATAACGTGATCCCCCTCATCAGAACATGAGATTTTTTAAAAAAAAATTATTTTTCCCCAATTGCATGTAAAAACAATTTTTAACATTCTTTTTTTTTTTTTAGTTTTGAGTTCCTCATTCTATCCTTCCCTATCTCCTCTCCCCCCTCCCTGAGACAGTAAGCAATCAGATATGTGCAGTCATGTAAAACATTTCTGTGCTCTTCATTTGGCACAAGAAAACTCAAACAAACAAACAAAAAAAGAAAGTGAAAAGTACTATGCTTCCGCCTGTATTCTAACAACATCGTTCTCTCCCTGGAGGCAGTTAGCATTTTTCAACATGAGTCCTTTGGGATTGTCTTGGATCACTGTATTGCTCAGAATAGCTATGTCATTCACAGTTGTTCATCATGCAGCTTTACTGTTACTGCATACAATGGTCTCCTGCTTCTGCTCACTTCACTCTGCATCAGTTCATGTAAGTCTTTCCAGGTTTTTCTGAAATCATCCCACTTGTCATTTCTTAAGGCACAATAATATTCTAGAATGTGAGTTTCTTTCTTTTTTTTTTTCCTTTTCTTTTTCTTTTTTTGGGGCATTTGGGGTTAAGTGACTTGCCTAGCTAGAAAGTATCAACTTTGGTCTGAGGCCTGATTTGAACTCGGGTCCTCCTGACTTCAGGGCCAGTGCTCTATCCACTGTGCCACCTAGCTGCCCCTGGATGTGAGTCTCTTGAGAGCAGGAGCTGTATTATTTTCCTGTTGGTATGCCTAGCACTTGGGCCAGAGCCTTGCCAATGATCAGAGCTTAATAAACATATTCATTAATTCTTTTAGAGCGGAATGTGTTACTTGTATTTCCTGACTTGTGGTCCTTTTCCTACCATCCGAGATCACGAGAGTAGTCCCTCCTCCTTCAAAGGTAGACCATCTCTTCACTCAGGATTGAAGGTCTCTGAGGTAGGGGAATTGTTTTCCTCCATCATATGGGGAACTCCTGAGAGACTTCCATCAGACTTAGTGTTTCCCAAGGGTGTAGACCAGGGGTGAGAAACCTGCAGCCTCAAGGCCACATGTGGCCCTCTAGGTCCTCAAGTATGGCCCTTTGACTGAATCCAAATTTCACAGAACAAATCCTTTTATTAAGGGCTGTAGACAGTGTTTCTCTGGCTCCCAAGGTAAAGGCCATGTTTCTCTATGTGGTTAGGGTACCTCTGAATGTTTCCCTAATCCCTGAAAAAAGCTGTTTAGAATGACTTACTGGGCTTAGACAAAGGGCTGGTGATCATGCTAGGGGAAGGAAGATGTGGGTGTGGGTGAGGGGACTGAAAGAGGTCCATCCAAATTAAGCCAGGCCCCTCCCAGGATATGCCTTCTCCGGGGCTGGAACCATAGCAATCTAGTGTGGTTGAAGCAGGAAGAAGAAGCAGGTACAGGAGGTACCCTCCAGAAAACTCAGCTCGAACAGTTGCTGACTGACAGTGTGACCCCAGAGTCCCAGGACCATGAAGCCTGTGGCCCTCCAGGATTACATCTGTTCATTGGACCCAGCCTCCCTGCCCCGGATCCTGAAGATATGCTCCGGGGTGTATTTTCAGAGTAAGTGTGACAACCCAGACCTCTGCTTCAGAGTAAGTGTGACACCTCTGCTTCACGGGTACATTTATCACTCGCCTGAGGCGTCCGCCATTGCCTCTGCTTCTTAGTTCAATAGAGAGGAGGACCCTGGCTTCCTTGCCACCTTCAGTAGAAGGCTACACTGAGCTGGATGCAGGTACCCCGCCTTCCTCAGAAGACAGTGTCCCTCAAAACTCTGGATTGGGGTCAGTCCCGTTGTGAGGTTCTCACAGCAAAATTTTTCCTTATGTTGAGCCGTTTTGGCTAGAGGGTGGGGTGCAATATGATAAGGGGTTAAGGATTCAAGAGAGGAGGACAGTGTAGAGTTGGACTGGTTCCCCAAGGAGTCAAGATGGGGACAAGAGGAGAAAGTGGCTAGTGCAGGGGAGATGGCCTGGGAGAGAATTGAGGCGTTAAGGGATTATTGGTCATGGCCGTGGGTGTGGAGAGGTAGAGTGGAGGAAGAAAAATTTGCTGCTTTTGGGCGCCAATTGGGCAAGAGGTTGAGAGTGTGAGAAGAGATTTTCTCCAGATCTGGAGCCCCGAGGGACAGAAAGAACAGAAAGAGCAGTGATCCATTAGGTGCTTGTTTTTTCTACATCTAGCCCCGGTCACTGAGTGACCCTGGGAAAGCTGCTTAAACTCCATCCTGCTCAGACTCACCATCTGTAAAATCAAGGGGTTTGGGTGGGTAATCTACTAAGTCCCTTCTAGCTCTGACATCCTAGAATCCCAGGTTGGGGTTTCTCCAAAGGTAGTGGTGGGGGGGGGGATGGTTGTTTGTCCTTTGCTCTTGAGGAGGACCATGGCATCAGGCAGGTGATGCCATGACTTGTTAGTGAATTGGATGTAAGTGAGGGAGAACTGTGCAAAGTGACCAGCCTCAACGTCTCCTCCGGAGCCATCTGGGTCCAGTGGTGATGTACAGATGAGGACTACTGGACATGGCCCCCGGTTGATTCACTGGAACCATCTAGAAGGCTCAATGGATAGAACCCTGGGCCTGGAGTCAGGAAGACCCGAATTCAAATACAGCTTCAGACAGTCACTAGCTGCGTCCACCGGTACTATTACATTATCTCTCGGTATATCTCAGTAAGACCGGAAACTCAGTGTTTTTCTTTATGTGGGCTTCCCCACTAGAATGTGAGCTTCTTGAAAGCAGGAGCCGAATTACTTTTATATTTGCGTGCCTGGAGCTTGGACCAGTACCTCGAAAATGATCAGAGCTTAATTAACACATTCATTCATTGATTCATTGATTCATTCATTCATCTATCCATTCATTTATTCGTTCATTCAGGAAATAAGGGGCTTGACTCTTGACTTGACTCTGTAGGCCAATGCTGAGTCAGAAATGTTGCAGACAGGATTTGTGGTCAGGTACAGGTTTAATGAGACGGTCTGTGAGATTCTCTTGAAGTGGCTGTTAGTAAAGTCAATGTTTCTATTAGATTCCTACAACACCCTGCTTGTACTAGAGGCATCCAGGTGGGACAGTAGGCCTGAAGTCAGATAGAGCTTAGTTCAGATCTGGTTGCCTAACCCTAAGTCACTTAACTTCTACTCTCCTCAGTTTCCTCAACTATAAAATGGGAATAATAATGGCACCTAACTACCAGGGTTCTTTTTTATTTTTTTTGGCCAGGCAGTGGGGTTAAGTGACTTGCCTAGGGTCACACAGCTAGTCAGTGTCAAGTGTCTGCGGCCGGATTTGAACTCAGGTCCTGCTGACTCCAAGGCCAGAGCTCTATCCACTGTACCACCTAGCTGCCCCACCACCAGGGTTCTTGAGACAATCAAATAAGATATTTGTAAGGAACTTGACATAGTAGGCACTTAATAAATGTTCGTTTCCTTCTTTTCCAGAGCAAATTCCTCTCATGGCCTTGGTTTTCTCTTCTATAAATTGCACTACCTACAGTAAAGAATTATTGTGGGGAAAGTGCTTTCTAAATTGTACATATAATAGCTTCAAGAAAGAACCTAGCGCATTTTAGAACAGCTGGGAGAGGGGGAAATGGAGAGAGGAGCATTGAGCCCCCTGACTTCTATTCCCTAAGCTGGTCTCCCAGGAAAAACTTTGCTCTCTGTCCTCTGGGACCCCAGACCAAAGGCTTGGAGCAGGGAGAGAAGCCAGGACCCCAGTTATCCTGGGAGAAGCCCACCCAGGACCTCCTGTGTCACTCTGAAGAGCTTTGTGTCTTGGAGACAGGCAGAGGTTTTAGGGCGCTAGGGAGGACATATTGAGGGAAGAGATGGGGAGGCTGTACAGAAGGCTAGAGGTTCATAGGAAACAAGGGAAGGACAGGCTGCAGGGTAGGGGTTCAACCCAGCCATCACAGCCCTGAGGGAGAAGGGAAGAAGGGAAAAGAAAGGGAACTAAGGCCAATGTCTTCAAAGGCTATCTTCTTTTTTAGATCCCCAAACGTCTGCATTGGTACTTCAGCCTTCCCAGGCTAGAGAAACCCCACCCACACCCCAAGTTCCTTCTGCTCACCTAGGATCTCAACAAGATGCCTCCTGGGTTCACATACCTTTCAGGTCACCTCTGGCCTGCCCTACCCAATAGTCAAGTTGCTTATGCTCTTCCATAACTTGATGACCATATTCCTTTCTCCCTAGGTCCATATGTTCGTCCACTGGAAAATCCTTTCATTCGTTCAACAAACCATAACTGATGTAAAGCACCCACTGCCTTGGGGCTGAAAAAGATAAAAGTTTAGATAGGACACAGTCCCTACCATCATGACACTTACCTTCAGTAAGGTCTGTGATGAAAATACCAGTGTCAGTGTATCTGATAGCAGAAGCTAAGAGGTAAAACAAGGTCAGACCTGGCTGATGCAAATACAGGATAAATGCTGAGTACTAGAGGCCTTTTTTAAAATTCTTTTTTAGGAGGGCAGGAAAGTGTAACAGAAGGAGTTCTGGATTGAGAGAGGACCTGAGTTTGAATTACATCTCAGGTGCTTCAAGTAATTCAAATTTAGCATTTTTTTTTACAATAATTTCTATTGATAATAAAAGCTCTCCAACCCTCCCCTCCCCCAGTCTCTCAGCTAAGGCTGTTGCCTCTTACTTTATTGAAAAAAAAAAATTGAGGGCATGCAACATAACCTCCCTTTTCTCTGATTTTATCTCAAAACCCCCTGACATCATCTCTCACACTCTCTTCCTTTCCACCTGTCTATGACAGAGATGGTCCTTCTTGGCAAGGCCGACCCCTTTTTACATGTGCACTTGATCCCAACTCCTGCCATCCTCAATTCAATCATCGCCATCCCCCCACATTCTCAAATCTTATCCTATCATCTGGTTCCTTATCTTCAAACATGCCCAAGTCTTCCCCACCCTTAAAAAAAAAAAATCTCAACTGGAGCTATAAAGCTATCATCGTCTCCTCCCTTTCTCAGCCAAACTCTGAAAAAGCTGTCTGGAGCTTCTATCACATTGCACACCATCTTGGGAAGGGAAGAGGGAAGGAAAGGGGAGAAAACTGAAAACTCAAAAGCTTATGGAAGTGAATGCTGAAAATGAAAAATAAATAAATTAATTAAAAATTTAAAAAAAGAAAAAAGACAAACCTGTCTATACTCGCTGCTTCCACTTCCTATTCTCCCACTCCTCCATCGTTTGCAATCTGGCTTTCAAATGCTATCACTCACCTGAAACTGCTCTCTCCAAAGTTACCAATGAGCTCTTTTTTGTTGTTGTTTTAAATGAGTATTCCTTTCCTTCTGCCTCCCCGCCAGAAAGCCATTTATATAACAATTAAAAAAAAAAAGAAGGAAAAATCAGCATAACTGATCAATTAAATGAAAAAAATCTGAAAATGGGATTTTGTGATTGGAAAATATGCAATGGAAAACCTTTGTGAACCTCCCCTCTCTGCAGAGGGGTGCGATTGGTGATGTCTTCTCAGATCTCTTCTTCTGATCCATGCTGGATCTGTGATCTTTGTAATTTGGCAATATTCACTTTTGACTTTTTGGTACACAGCTGTGGCTTCCATTGACATCATTGTGTAGATTGTTCCCTTGACTCTTTACTTCCCTCTGTATCAGTTCATATAGTCCCTCCCAGGCTTCTCCGTATTCATCACACATGTCATTTCTTATAGTAACATTCTTACACTAGCATTCCTGTACATCCGTGTGCCACAACTTGCTTAGCCATCCTCCAATCAATGGGCATCCACTTTGTTTCCAGTTCTTTGCTACCACATAATTACTGCCTCAAACATTTTGCAGCATGTTTTTAGAGGCAGGTAGATGGTACGTACAGTGGATGAAGCACTGGGTCTGGAGTCAGAAAGACCTGAGTTCAAATCCCACCTCACAGGCTGTATGCCTCTGGGAAAGTCATTTAACCTCTGTTTGTCTCAGTTTCTTCAACTGTAAAATGGAGATAATACCTCCCAGGGTTGTTGTTGTGAGGATCAAAGAAGATAATATTTGGAAATTGCTTGGCACATAGTAGGAGCTGTATAAATAATGCTAGCTAGTACAGTTGTTATTATGTTGGCACATATGAGGACTTTCCTTTTATTAATGACTTTCATGGAGTATATGCCTCGTAGTAGACTCTCCGGGTCAAAGGATATGGACAATTTAGTCTGTATTTTCATAATTCCATATTGCTTTCCAAAAGGTTTGTGCTAAATCACAGTTCTTCCAACAAAGCAGGAATTTCCCAGTCTCCCTATAACCACATCAACACTGACCTGACTATTGCTGTCTTCTTTGCCAACTTGTTGAGTATAAAGTAAAACCTCAGGGTCTTTTTTTTAAAATTTGCATTTTTCTGATTATTAGTGATTTGGAGCTTTCTTTCATATAATTGGTAATTGTTTGCAATTCTTTTGAGAATTGTTCACGTTCTTTGACTACTTATATATTGGATTGACTTTTAGTTTTATTTAAACATATATGTGTTTAAACAAAATATATGTCTAAATAAAATGAAAAGTTATAGATAGA